AGACAAGGATGGCAGTATGTGGCCGTTTCGGGTGGGGGAGCGAGATGGCAGTTTGTGGCAGTTTGAGCGCGCCCTGGTGGCAGGGAGACTCACTACGAGTCTGGCAAGCCTGTTTTCGTCCGCGTTTGTACTTAACCAACCTTTTCTGCTTAGAGTAAACACCTGTTTTATACAACATTGAAATCCATTGTTTACCTCCTTCTCTTGAGAGTGGCATGCACATTGAATGGAATAATTGACGTGTCGTATTAGTCCCTTTTGCCCTTGAATAATGGACTCTGACGAGCAACCCATCGATTCCGAGGAAGAAACTGAGAGACTGAAGAACTCTGTATACGAGGCTCAAAAAGTGATTCAAGAGGCCGGTGCTGTTGACGAAGAAGCTATCTGTGAACGACTGCAAAGGAAATCTCAAGAGGAAGGAGAAGTATCGCAAGATGCTGATGATGCGGTACCCTTAGGTAAAAGAACAGCCACAGTTTAATGATGGATTTTGACTGAATTCAAAATGGATTTTTTGTGATACTTTTCTGTTTTTATTTCAATCAGGGGTAGAAGAGGAAGAAATACTAACAGCTGCTGAGAAAGGAAAATTGGATGTCCTAGAACGACTCTTAGCAGAGAACGAAAATCTAGTGAATGTGAGGGATAGTGACGGTTACACTCCTCTGCATCGTGCCTGTTATTCAAATCATGCTGATGTCGTCGAAGTAAGCATTCATCCTGAGCCATCTTGTGTTGTTAGCAATTTGGATCCTTTTTGTGTAACTCCTCCCACTTTCCTTTATCTTTCAGTTTTTGTTGAAGCACAAGGCAGATGTCAAAGCAAAAACTTGTGATGGCTGGACTCCCCTTCATTCCGCTTCCAAATGGAATAATTACAAATGTGCTGCTCTTCTCTTAGATTATGGATCTGAAGTTAATCCTCTTACAAATGGAGGTAACCCTTTTCTGAGCACCAAGTTGAAAATTATTACTGTGGTATTCATAGCAAACTGTGCTTTCCCACTTGTGCTCAAAGAAGAGGACCTCATTACTTTGTGAACTAAAGATGTATCTCGGTTTTACTTGTTTCAGGGCAAACTCCGCTTCACCTAGCCTCAAGTCATCCTGAGGCCAGAGAGACTCTATATCTTCTTCTTACCAACCCCAAAATTTCAATTAACATTCGGAATAAGACAGGAGAATTAGCATATGATATTGCTCATCGTCATTGTAAATATTATAAATTGTTTGACTTATGTGATCCGTGTTTCAATATTATCTAGTGTGTCCGTAATTGTATTGGTACTGGGTTACATTTCTTCAGTCAAGCCCTATGGAAAATTAAGGTACACAATTTTAACAAAGAGTATGTATTCATTGAGGGCCTTCATAAATAAGTTTACAACTTCAAATAATAATTTTAAATGGCCTAAAGGATTAAAAATTTTCAAGTGTGTTAACTTTGAAACTATTGCATCATTCAATCAATCAAATTTGCTACAAAATTAATGAATGTTAAGAGGTAGCATGTGTACAGTCAGAAAAATGCACTGTACCAAGAAATAAGACTTGCAGATAGAGTGTATATATACTTCTTTAAAGAAAACAAAACAAAAACATTTTAATGAGTCATTTATTTGAATAAAGTACTTTGGTCCAAAGGATGTTGATATACTGCAACAAAACCATTTTCCTAATCAAGATTAGTTAGACCACCTATAAGAAACAATTCTACTAGGTAAGTATAAAATTATGCAGAAGAACACCTTAACAACAACAAAAACAAACAATTTATAACACAATAGAATACAGACAAAGAAAAAAAAAATTATTGAATTCAATAGATCACTGGTCCGTTTGCCGTCATCAATATCTACTCTACTTACAAGTAATACTCATAGTAAACCCTAGTAAGCAAAAATATAGTAATCACATTAATTCGTAAGAGACTAGTCAAGAGATAAATGTTAATACATTTGCCCAATTTGCCTAAAACATGTTTGATACCAATATACTATTTTCCTTCACTGTAGATATAAAACAATAACTACCAAACAAATCAGGATGAATACTGTCCAACAACAGCTTTAACTAAGAATGGTAACAAGAGATCTATCTGATACAGTCCTAATTAAAAATGAGGGAACTATGGAACTCTCTCTCCAGAAATGTTCTGAGAATATATTATGTACTACCTGCACAACCAATTAAATCAATGGTAGGCCTATTTCAACATGGAGGTAATTGGATAAGCTCAGGAATGTTTACTGTAAAAAGTTCTTTCATGAGAATATAGAAACCACTGAAGAGGTCCTTTACTAGAAATCCATAACACTGTAGTAACAAGAAATTGATACACAACCATTTTGCTTTCTGAGAAGTTTACTTTAGAAGACCAGAAAAAATTACTTTAGACTTTGGTTTCTAAACTTATTACTATGGGCAAGAAAAGGGCTCGCATGAATAATACCTATACCTAAATATTTCTCTCTAACATTTACAAAATTTAACACAGACAGAATGAACCATAATTTCATACTTCACTCCATTTGGACCAATCAACAAAACTAATAGTTGGTAAAAGAGCTCATACATATCTATACAATATCCTCCCTAGAGAAAATTATTTCATGTGCTGTTTTTTAACTTTCCAAATTATTGTTTGTCTTTTGAAGTAAAATACTGATAGTAGTGAATACGTACTACTGACAACCGCAACAAATGAGAGTACTACTCTCTTAGAAAGGAGATCATTCACAGATTGTGTTTGAAGATCACATTGTAAGGGGGGAATAACAATGCCAATGCCAAGAATTTGACTTTGACTTTTGAGTTCTAGCATTTCCAAACAGTCAATTACATTGTTAAGGAAGACAAAATTTATCTAAGAAACATGACTTTTGTTGATTTTGACACTCACTGTCTCCAGATATAACAAAAAGGTTCTTAAGATTAGAAAATCCACTTTTTACATTTGAAGGAATGTATGAAAAAGGACAATGTTAGTATCTAAAAAAGGAACATAAAATGGCACATGCTTAAGGAGCAGGCATAACCTTCCCCACAATGTACACATTGCTTGAAAAGCACAGTCCACTTAAACTCTCATCAGTACTTAGTCTCATGTGAAATAGTCTCACCAGTGCAAGGAGTGTAAATTCTATACAGTTCTAATATGCAATACACAGCACCTTCATAAAAAGAGCAAGACAATGTTTTCTTAATTGAGGAAATATTTCTGGTTTCAAGTTTAAAACTTATCTTAACAGATGAAGAGCATTTCAATATTTAGAATTGAAGAAGGAAATATGGTTGCTATGTTGGGGTACACTAAAGGTAAAATTCATCACAGGATAAGAAGTAAAGAATCTGCAGACCTGCCAGAAACACAGTTGTTGCTCATGACTGACAATAAATCTGATTACAAATTTTGTCTGAATGGAATAATAAATAAATCCATCACAAAAAATTAACGATGTTGGCTTATGCCTCATGATCTCCATCGTTGATGCCAATCAAAGCCTGTTGCTCACTTTCGCAATCTGGCATTCTGTAAAACATGGAAAAAAAAAAGGCAAGAAAATTTTAAGATGTAGATTTTTTCAAGATCTAGAATCTCCCATCCTTTTTATTGGAGAAATCGTTTATAAATCAAATCTGGAAAATACCTTATTGCTCTGTTGTGTGAATATCCTACTCGGCAGCAGAATACACGAGAACATAATCGGCGTAAGCATTCTCCTAAAGGATCCCAATTCTCCCAATGAGCAAGGAGAAGTATTGCCAAGAATGCAAAACAAACGGGTAGAGCACCCAAATACAAAATCACAGAATAGTGAACCTGTTTTAAAACTACATCAGCAAACATCGTCATAGGCACAGTAAGGCTCATGGCAACAGATGCGATGAGGGAGGAAGTAAGAAAACATCCCCTGCAAAAATTGGGGGGGAAATTATTATCTAAAACAGTTTATATAAATTTTTACCAAATAAAAAATGATGCAACTTTAAAAGAGCCTCTTACCACAACCAAAGTGCTTCTGAGATGACAGTTCCTATGATGCCATTTAAGAGAAGATATGCCCATTGTCGTTGATTAGGCCATTCAAACTTTTCTAAATTTGTATAGTGCAGTAAGAAAAATACTGGCCATAACAATAGAAGATTCCAAAGTCCTACAAATCCTTCAACACAGATATTAAATTAATACACACTTAAATATTTATAACAAGGAAAAATTAATAATTTAAAAGTATAAGATATTATACCAAAAAACATGGGGATGTCCATTTTGTCTTCATTATCTACTTTCCGCCTAAGAAATACCAAATACATGGCGTAAAAGCAAGCACTTATCAATGCTAAGAGACCTCCCATAGGTATAGTAGCTTCAAACGAGTGGTCTGCCATAAATACCAAAACCTAAGAGAAGAATGTAATTATTTTTTAGAGAGAAAGCTTTAAGGGCTTGTAATAATAAGATATTAAAAGAGATAGGTTACACTACACTTACCAATCCAACTAGATTCATACAAACAGCAACGAATTTTGAAAGAGTAAAATGATCTCCTTGGTTTGCTGGAAATGCAGCAGCTAATAACAATGTTGCTAGGCTAGATGTACAAGAAAGCAGAGCCACCATACCCGCCTCTGTGTGAGCTAGAGCCACTTGGTATGTATAATTAGCCAGAAACCACTAGAAAAAATAAAATGATAAGGTGTAAGAAATCGAATGTTCTAGAATATTTAATAGGTAACTTAGATTGGATCGTAGGTCCATACCAGTATACAGAAAATAAAAGCAATTTTGGCAACACGGTGAACAGGAAAACGGTTGGCTGCCCTCTTGGCTGCTTCCCCTGCTCTGAGAGTGGCCTGGTATGACAAGCGTGCAAGAAGTGCCTCCATAGCGCCTTCCTCAGACATTTGCTTCACCTGCAGGATTAAGTATTTGTCTGAAGACAAAGGCCACACAGCGTGTTGAAGTTGTAGAAAGCAATACCAACCTCTGCAAGCTTACTAAAACGGACAGAGCGAGAGGAGGCATCATTTCCAGTATCTGTTCCTGAGTCATTGCCAGAACCTCTGTCACTTCCATCAGCATACTTAATGGGTACAAATGTTGAATCACTCTAGATGAGAAGAAAAAATAATTTCAGCAGACAAAATTCAATTAACTTAAAGCAAATCTTATTGTATATCATACCAAACTACTGGTTGCTTCTGTATAAAAACTTTCCTCATCTGCAACTGGATCCAACAACTGTGCAAAACAAGTAATTTATTGATTGGAATTCATCGTTCAGCTAAAAAACCAGTACAGTAAAAAAAAAACACCTGATAGGAAACCGGAGGTTTCTCAAGCTGAGCCCGCCACTGAGGCCAGAAACACAGGCCAAGAAGGTATATTGTAAACATAGATGTTTTGAGATAAGTACTGAAGAATGGTTTCTCGTAGTCTGCATTTTTGTAGATAAACTGAAAAAAAAATGAGCGGTCACCCAAGAAGCATGAAACATGATTTTTCCAATATCACCTAATATACCAGTAAAATTCCAGTCTGGAAATTTTTAAAAATTAAAGATCACCTTAGTGATTTCTGAAGATGCAACCCAAATAATATCAACAAGAAGCAAGATGATGAATCCGAGAAACAATCGTTGTGACTTTGACAGCATTCTGGTAGTGAACTTCAGAGGAGGGTGAAGCTCGGGATTTGGCGTTCATCGCAAACTCACCGTCAGGATGTTCTGTTCATCCATGACGTTAGTAAAGAAGCTACGTCGCCTGTAATGTACAAGATAGAGACGTTGTTATTGACATCGTTCTAGCAGACATCCTACATTGTTAACCGTGTAATGGGTGGTCACGATAAATCAGACCGGGCAGACTACTGCAGGTACATCAAAAATCATCAAAGAAAGAAAATGCAACACGTACTTAACCTACGAACACATCGCACTTGTCAAACCACTCAGAAATACAGCGATTAAAAGGTAACATGCGGCGACAGTGCGAAAGACAACACTCTGTTTGACGTCAACCTCATGACGTCAGAGACCTTATTCGCAGCACCGTGATTGTTCTGCTATGTGAACCTGAATCTAAAGATACTCAGGAATGAAAAAAACTTGAAACCTTTTGAGGATATATAAACTGGAAAAAAATCTGTTACAGTAGCACTATTCTGAACACATAATGCGACTAATTTACTTGGATAATTGTAAATAAACCACAAACCAACACTCGACCTGTTTAGAAGAACAAATGTTCATTTATTTGTACTCGAATGGTTGGTCCAATGTGGCGCGCACCTTTAAAACGTTCGGTTCCATGTCATAGAAATAGTTTTTGAATTCATTATAGGTACATCCCCCCGAAAGGAACTTACAATCGTGATGAGGTCATTCAAACGCATTGCCAAATGGTCAATATGCGTTTTTCTATGAATTCGATACAATTTCTCACTGGGCTTGCGTGCTTGATTGTATTGTACAGGGAAGAACCCACTTGCAGTCAGTCGTGTTCGGTTTATGGTGTTTCACAGGGCACGCGGGCACGGCACGTATCCAGGATGAGGGGGAGTATCGGACCCCAATCATATGAAAGAAGAGTACGGGAAACCGCAAATAAACTTACACACACGCCAGGTAGGAGGGTTTATCTCTCTTTTCCGCAGAATATAATTGACACGATCACAGGTAGGACGCATATGGTCATGAAATCCGGTGGAACAGTGCTCTTTTTTTCTCGCTCCACCCTGATGTGTAGGCAAAGCGCAGCACTTTCCGGCTCGAAGTTTAAAGGCCTAAAGGCTCTCCCGTCTCCCTCGGTTTAGCTGCGCTGCGCTCGGGCTGGTGGAGGTGGTGGAAGCACGCCAAGTGCCCCCTCCCACCCCCCACCCCCTCTCCCGGAGCAGCCAAGGGGCGGAACCGACGCCAGGAGCCGCGTGGCGGCCGCAATACGCATGCCTGGAGTTAGGCCCCTCCGCCCTCCACCCCGTCGGCGCCGACGTCCTCCACCCACCTGGAGGCGCCTGGAAGGAAAGCGTCGCCGGCACGCGCCTGCAGGTGACGCCGCAACGGACGGAGGGGACGGCCGACGAGTTCTAAGTTTTGAGAAGTGGCGGCAGCTCGAGTTGGTTTTGCCGTTTGCCGCTAAATGAGGGCGTCGACACTTCACTGCGAATAGCGCATCGGCGCGTTATTCGCCCGCAGAGCGCTCGTATACGCACTCGCGGCCAGTGCGTTTTTGTATCGTAAACAAATTGGATTCGACGCGAGTTTTCTGGCATGTTTTCAAGTTTTCAGTGACTGTGGACGTTTTTCAGCCAGTCCCCGGTCCTCGCGCTATTTCAAGATCTCTGGATTTCATTGCACGTCGCGAGGCGTGCAACGAATATGTCTGAAGTACCTGCAGTTGCTCCAAAGTTCATTCACATAGGTGAGTTGGGTGCTGTCTAATAAATAGGAGGTATTGCTTGTGCGTGTAAATCTGACAGTAAAAGTCGCCAGACGTAGAGTAAATGGGTAAATGTGCGTACCGCTCAGGCACTTATGCAGGTGTTGTACTAGATCTGACACCGCGGCCCGTTCGTTTCTCCTCTGTTTACGTTTCGGTTGAGAGGTTATCTGGGTTTCAGTCACATTCCAGTGAGAAACTTTTATGACTTTACTGTGTTACCGGAACTTACTCTTTGTTGATGGTATAATTGACTGCGCAGCACATCAATGGGTCCGTCTGAATGTTCTCTGTTCATTTTATTTTTGAAATTTCCCTGAAACATTAACTGGATTAGCTGGAGGGAAGGTTATGTGACAGTGTCAAAGTAGTTTTAGACAACTGTCAGTGGGTAATTTCATGAGAACCACAAATACTTTTTTTAGGAGTAATAACCATTGTTTCGTTTCAAGTATTTAATTTTGTGTGTCATATATTTTGCTATTATCAGCCCATGTGTGTGTTAAAACTATTGACTCTGTGGTAGATGGTTCTTATCAGTTGTGTATTAAGAGGGAGATTTGTGTATGTGTTCTTATCTACTTTCTGCCTGTGGAAGTTTTCAAGGTTTTCCTATTAGAATAAGAATTCTCTTCTGAACTTTCCACAACTTTTGGAGGATAATCTAAAGATACATTAAAATAATTAATAATTTAAATTTTATTCCAGATTAATAGCCTCAGCATTACTACCTATATTCCAACATGTTCAATTTTATGAAGAAAGGCCCTGCTGGGCCTTTGGAGCGAGAAGAGAAGGAGAAGCGGAAGAAGGAAAAAAGGGAGCAGAAAGAACGAAAGGACAAAAAGAGGGATCGTAGCTCCATGACAGCAGAAGAGCTGTTACGCCTTGATGAAGTATGTCGTGATGTAATTTATTTCTACAATTCAAATCTGTGTTTGTATTTGTCAATATTATATATCTATTTTGTGCAGGTTCGACGATCGCTAAAGTTACGAGGGAGGCGAAAGGAGAAAGAGAAACTCCCCAGTGGAATAACAGCTGATTATAGTGCTAGTTTCTTTGGAGATCTGGAAAGACTAAGCCCTGAAAGAGAGGGCTCTGAAACAGATGGTCGCAGAGAACGCACTGCAAGTCTCCCTTTGGGACAAAGTTTATCCGCCTATAATTCCAGCACCATGGGAGGGAGTTCATGGGGTCGAGGAACAGATACTTTGACACATAGTGATAGTTCTGAGGCTAGCTCTAACTCCCTCAATCAGCAGCCTCAACTATCCAAAGTTCAGCAGAAAGTACTACCACCCCTACCTCCCCGACCACCTAAACGAGGAATCCTAAAGCAAGGCCCTCGCTCCAGTACTTCAAGTCTTGCAAGTGATGGTGTACCAACTAATTTTGAAAGTCAAGCTGTCGTTGATCCTAATGCTGTTCTTGTGAGGAACACCATTCAGAATGAAGTCATCACTTACCAGAATCTTCCTTCCCATTCCAAGTCAACTTCAAGTTACCTCTTTCCAGAGGCTGATGCAAGCAGTGCACTATCTGTTCTTCTTACATCAGATAACTCTGCTCCTAGCCCAGATTTTTCCAGTGAAATAATGTCTCCCCTAAGTGCACGCAGTGCAGATCATGCCCCTAACAATTATTTGAGTGTTATGTCATCACATCATGAGAAGAAACTTTCAAAAGCAAGTCTGAGCCCAAGTGCTGAGTCTTTGACTGACACCACCACTAATTCAAGCTTTGCTACTCCGCCATTTAGTTTGTCACCTGTTGGTGAAAGTCAAGGTTTCCATGGCTTTGGTGGACGTTGGAGCAAATATGTTTCAAATACTTTTGAGGACATGTGCTCCGAACTACCACCTCCTCCCATCACCCCAGTGCCTTTACCCCAACCCCGTGAACTAACTATTCAAAGGCAGCCTCCACCTAGAAGTGATTTTGGTTTTTCGCTCCGTCGAGCTATTATTGTTGATAGAATTGAGACATCTCAAGGAGTCACTATGGTATGATTCACATTACCTTCAAACTCATTTTGTTAAAATAGAGATTGGTTTTAGTAGTTTAAAATCTCATCTACTTTTGTTCCAGCATTCCAAAGCAGTTATATTTGCCGAACCAGGTGCTATTATCCAGCATAATAATGAAACTGGCCTGCTCCCCGGTGACAGACTGATTGAAGTCAATGGCATCCCTGTCGATGACAAGTCTAGAGAAGAAATAATTGGCCTCATCAAATCTTCTGGCTCAAGTGTTACTGTTAAGGTAACTATACAAAAATCCCTCTTCAAAAGCAAAAAAAGGGCATCTTAAATTTCATGAGTTGTGTGACGATTTTTGGCCGTGTGAAGCGGTACTAGTATCCCTGCTCGGCTCCATGGTCCGCACTTGTGCATGCGGCGGGCCGCGCCAGGCGGGGCAGAGTGCTAACAGGTGCCTCTTCCTGTCGGCGCCGTTCAGTTCCTCCCGAGCCAGTCTGACTGCGGAGGCTGGCGCGTAGGCCGCACGGGCTGCATCCGTTTTGTCTAGAGTGTTTCCATGCAGCGCGAGTTGGACAATGAGTGAAACTCACAAGTTTGTCAGTTGCGTCGCCCAGCTCAAGATACTGCCGAGACCCTCCAAGGTTCGGGGCTGCAGCCACTTCAGCTGGACGCCGCCGCAGCCGCGTCGCTCCCGCGCTATTTTCGACTTTATCTTTGACAATTTCCCGTTGTTTTTCCAGGTTCAGCCTGTACCTGAACTTTGTGAACTCACCCGGCGTTCGGCGGACGGTACGCTGGTCGAACTGGACGACTCCAACATCCGCGGCGGCACCTTGCGGCGCAGTGGGAGCCGGCGCTTCAAAAAATCAGCGGTAAGATTGTTTTCTTTTTTCTTTCTTTTTTTTAGTATCTGTATTTTCCCTTTTTCTGAAAAAAATCGGCCACTGTCACCTCACTAGAAACGTTACATTCTGTTACAGGTAAGTGACATACCAGCTGGATTGCAGGACTCTTGGTGGATGAGGTCTTCCTCGCCCTCTAAAGGAGAAAACTCATCGACTCCACAACGGTGCCATGGTCATTGCAACTTTATTCTGAATCCACTTTCTATCGAGTGCTCATGTTTGAGCGTAGGCAAGTAAATGTGTCGCCGTACACGATGTTTACTCTACCCGTTCCGTTGACGGTGATCGCTTTTCTCCTCTTTGGCATCATGTCCTCCTGGGGGGGGGGGGGGGGATGCAGCCGGCGGCGCTCAATTGGCACCTCCCACACCTCGCCTCTCCTTCCCCCCTTTATTCCCCCCTCGAGCCAAGTATAGTGCTTCTCCGCGCCCGCCGCCCGCCCGTCCCGCCGAACAAGGCTGCGCGATGGGTTGCCTACCTGCAGGGCGCCCGCGAGCCCCTCGCGTAGCCGCGGGGGTCGCCGCCACGGGGGTCCAAGATTGTGCGGATGGACTGCCTTTTGAAAGTGATATTGCCTGCCGACGTGACAAAGCTCCGCAGAACCGGGCCGATAGGCAGAGAAGCGGGTCAGCGAGAGGCATTGGGGGGGGGGGGGCAGGGCAGGCTCATGGCTGACAAGCCAATGACCGGCGTCGGCCGCTCATGGCGCTCGTCCCGTCGATGGCCGTAATAACTTGATCGTGGTCGTGGTCCGCGCTGTCTCCGGAAAAATGTTGTGCAGTCCGCCTCCACCGCGGCCCCAGCAGCCCGCGGGCAGCACGCCCCGCGCCGGCACGCTGCGGTGGGGAAGTCCTCCTCCTGCCCGCCGCTGCCGAGTATGCAGCGCACGGTTGGCGTCCGAGTCTGGTTAAAGAGATACAAGCGGTCGCCGGCGTGATCGCGCGGGTAGGGTACAGTGCCGAGTAGGGAGGAGGGGGGTTGTATGTATGTGCGACGAGCGGCGCGAGCGAACACCCCGCCGCCGGGACGTGCGCCCCCGCGGCGAGTGGCGGTGGACACGCTGCTGCCGGACGCGCCCGCGGTTGCGTCAGCTGCGCCGCCGCCGCTCTCTGCCTTGGGCGGCTTGTCGTCGTCGTCGTCGTCGTCGTGGCCCCTCCTCTACCCCTATTACCCCCACTCACTCGAGCCCCCATTACTCCTTCAAACTTACCCCCCTCCCCCGTCCCGCTTCACGGCTT